GGCCCTTTGACTGACTCCAAACTTCACAGAACAAATCCTTTTAATAAAAGGATGCATTCTGTAAACCTTGGACTCAGTCAAAAGGCCATACCCGAGGACCTAGAAGGCCACATGTGGTCTCAAGGTCACAGGTTCTCCACCCCTGGACTCTAGGGCCTAGGATTAGGAGTACAAAGAATGAAACCAGCAGCTAATTGTCCAAGCCCAAGACACTTTTTGGAAACCCTGGGATAGAGTGTAACAAAATTCTGCACTGTCTGCTGAAAAAAAAATGGAATGAGGTAGATGTTGCTGTTTTATTATTGTTACCAGGTTCTTCCCTGCCTCAAGAGCTGTTTATTCAGAATAACAGAGATGAGGGGAAGTGTGTTCACCTCTTCTCCAGGGTCATGGGCCCAGCATTCTGCCCCTGAAGCCCATGTACAAAGCTGCAGCAAATAATGACCTTCCTATCTCAGGGCCTGGGTACCATTCAAGCCTGGGGCCCAGGAACATGGATTTCAGATGCTGTCTGTTATTTTTCTGGCTTCCTGATACTTATTTCTGCCCTGCAGTCCTATGGACCCTTAGAGGGTAATTTGGGGTTAAAGCTTTCACTCGCTCTGGAGGGAGGGACATTTCAGCTATCTCTTACCATCTTTCTCTTTGCCTCTGTCTCCTCATCTATGTCCCTCTAAATCTGTCCCTCTGTCTCTGTCTCTGTCTCTGTCTCTGTCTCTGTCTCTGTCTCTCTCTCTCTCTCTCTCTCTCTCTCTCTCTCTCTCTCTCTCACACACACACACACACACACACACACACACACACACACACACACACTTCACAATTATAGAATGTCAGGCCTGACCCAAAGGGAATTGGATACATAGAGGGGGTTCATCTTCTCATCCTTCCCAGAGGACCTCCATTCCCCCCAGCATGAGAAATCTGGGCGCCACCCCCCAAAATAGTCCAACCTCTGGAGTCTATGTAGCCTTGAAAGGGTGAGGAGCCAAAAAGGGAGGAAGATAAGCTAATGGACCAGCTGATCAAGAGAAGAATCCTGGCCCCAAGCAGATAAACCAACAGAGAAGATACGAATACAGAAAGAAAAATTATTCCAACCTCCAACGTCTCTGTAACTGTGAAGCTCGTGTGTCCTAGACTTTCTAACACAGGCCTGACCATAAGAAAAGAAAATGAACATGAAGGCTTTGAACATGTTCATGCTTACGTGTCCCAATTTTCAATCCAGAAAATATGGGCTATGTATCCCATATGTATATCCCACTGTATGTATATATAGAATATATGTATATATGTGTGTATATGTATATGTGTATGTATGTAATATACACATACATGTGTATACACATATGTATATATACATATATACACATATATACATATATTCTATATATACATACAGTGGGATATATGTATATATGTGTGTATATGTGTATGTGTATGTATGTAATATACACATACATGTGTATACACATATGTATATATACATATATACACACACACACACACAATTTCAAACTGGAAGGGACCTCTATTATTGTTCAGTCCCATGACCTCATTTTAGAGAGGCAGAAACCAAGACCCCCTAAATGGTAGAGAACTTGCCCAGGGTCCCAACTGCAGTGAGTAAGTGAACAGCCTAATCAGAATTTGACCTAAGACTTCTAGGCCTAACTCAGGTCTCTTTGTACAAGCAGCGTGTAAGAGGCCCCAGAGAGCTCAGCTCATCACATTGCTGAAGCAAGTCGTGGAAGAGCTTAGGATTCAAAGCCAGAAGACGTGTGTTCTAGTTCTGGTAATGTCACTAACTACGTGCTTAACGCTGGGCAAGGCATGACCCCTCCCTGCTTCCATCTTTTCATGTGAAAATGAAAGTGTTGCACAGAGAGGCCCTTCCAGCACTAGGAGACTCTGATTCTGAAACCATGATCAGTGTTAACATTTCTACTTGGAAAAACCCACTTAGAATGCCAAATAGCCTCAGGGCCTGCAGGCTGACATTATACATACATCCACATTCTCCCAGCCAACCAAGGGCTTTTATAGAGTGCCCACTAGGCTCCTGGTACTGGGCTAGGTCCTGAGTGAAAAAGGAAATTGCCCAGCAGCCCACAGATCTATAAATAAAACTTCCAAGAAAAAAATATATGGAAACTCTGTGTATTCCCCAGAAAGGGGGAGAAAAAGACATACAACAACCCAAACAGACGAGTTGGATTATGATACCAACCTGGAATAGAAAAAGGACAAGTTCTAAGTGTCCTATACTTAGCATAGGATCATTGAATGTCAGATTAAAAAGTAGAATATTAGAGCTGGAGGGGGTCATAGAGACCTTCTCACCCAAACCCCTGAGTTTTACTGATGAAAGAAGTTTAGGGGGGGAAAAAAAACCTGGACGTCTTGGTGGACTGCAAACTCAGTATCAGACAACAGTGTGGTTGGTACTGAAAGAACCAGGAATGTTTAGCTAGCTGGAAGAAAACTGGGGAGCACATCTGATCACACATTTAGAGCTTTAGGGTCCTTGGAGATTCCTAGTCAAACTGTCTCTTTCTAAAAGTCGCAGATGGTAAATCAGAGAACCAGAAATGAAGGCCAGGTCTAGAAGAAATCTTTCCACTGTGACATGCTTCCTCCTATGCTAGCTGTTTTAAAGTAATTAAAGGACTCTCACATGAAAGAGGGATTCATTAGACTTGTTCTGCTGGGACCCCGAGGGTAGAGCTGAAAACAATGGACAGAAGTTGCAAAGAGGCAGATTTAGCTTTGATGGAAGGGAAATCTTCCTAGCATTAGCCCAGCAGTTAGAATAAGCTGCCTCTGGAGGGAATGGTGGATTCCTTCTCACTGAATTCCATGCCCCTGCCCCCCACCTCTGTCCCTACTCAATAAGCTCCCATGGCTCCCTATAACTTAAATATAAATTCCTTTTGCTGGCATTTAAGGTCATTCCCTATTTTTCCATGGTCTAGCTATCCTATTTACTGTTCCTCACATAAGATTCTTCATCTCCCATCTCTATCCCTTTGCACTTGCTTTCCCTGATGCCTGGAATAATATTCCATTTCACTTCCACCTCTTAGAATTCCCGCTCCCTTCAAGACTTAGCTCAAGGGCTATATTTTAGTTGGTTTTTCCCAGAATTCCAGCTGTTAGTGCCTTCCACTCTAAAGGTTGCTTTCCACCTACTCTGTATGCATCTTGCATGTGTCTATTTACATATATAATGCCTCACTCATTAAAATGTGCACTTTTTAAAAGCAGGAGCTATTTTTATTTTCTCTTTGTATCTATAGCTCTTAGCCTAGTGCCTGGCATATAGTAAGTGCTAAATAAATGCTGATTGCTTGATTGAAAGGATGATTGACCCAACACTTGTTGTTTTGTAGTAGTGAAGACTGATTGGAAAGATGGTTTTCTTTTCAAATTGGGTATGTGGTAGAGAGGATTGATTGAAAAGATGGCTGACCCACCTCTTGCTGGGTGTGTGGTAGAGAGAACTGATTGAAAGGACGATTGGCCTACCTTTTGTTGGGGATTCTGATTCATGTAACAGTTGGACCACATGACCTTGGAGGTTCCTTCCAATTCTGAGATTCAGTGAACCTGGAAGAATGGCAGAGGCCATCTATAGCTGAAGAGGATTTTCCCCTTCAAGATCCCCAACAAATGGCCATCCCACAATGAAGACCGCCCTTTCCTCCACCACCACTTGCCACACAATTCAATCTGCTCCATTTTGAGATGGCTTTCATTGTTAGCAAATTTTCCCTTACTTTATGACCAAATCTGCCTTTTGGAAACTTCTGCTTCTTGTTTCTAGTTCTACCCTCTGGAGTCAAGTAGAATGAACTGAATATCTCTTTTGTTCCAGGTCTTGAAAAGAGCTATCATGTGCTCCTTCAGTCTTGTCTTTTATATTCTAGGCATCTCCATTTCCTTCAACTGATCCTCATCTGATCATGTAGTTCCAAGTCCTGTCACCATTTTGGTCTCCTACTTCTGGGCAAACTGTTGTGTTAAAATTGTATCTTGTTCTGGTCTCCTGACCATACCCCACTTCTAGTCAATATAGTAAGTTTTATAGGTAGCCAATATAGAACCACAGTAGGGAATAAGACTACAAACGGAAACCTGGAAGTCACTCACAAACCATTCCAAAGATCAAAGGAGTATAATTTACAAATTTTTATCATATATCAACCAAAATTTGCATCCTGGTAATATATGCCAAATCAGGGGAAACCACATAGGTGCTGCCTGCCAAGGCTTCTGACCTATAATATATAAATTCCAGACCAAATCTAGACCTCCACAGTTCTAGACCAGCAGAATATCCAAAAGGTACTGATAACTTTGGGATAATGATTTTGAAGTTTTGCCAATAACTTTGAAATGATTTGGATATGTTAATGATGTTAATATGTTAATGAACTAACCCCAAGTTGGCACAGATAGAAATTATTCTGTTTCTCCCAAAAAACCCTATAAAATGAGACCTCAAACTCCTGTCCCCCCTGAGGACTCTGATCTACATTGGGTCCATGCATCCAAGTGCTCCCAATTCTAATTCATGGTTATTGAGGAATGTTCTCTGCCTCTCCCTCTCCCCAACCTCTTCCCGTGCTGCTTACCTTCCTTCTCTATCCCATTCCCTATCCCCAAGCTGCCATCTACCCCTGTGCATTTATCACCACTTGTCTTTATGCTTAATTAAAATGCGATTGCTTCCCCATTTCCTACTGCCAATCATAGTCTTTTCCAGCAAGTACCCAAAGAACTGGGCATGTCTCCCCCAACTTCATAATTTTATAATTTCACAAATTAATTATCAATTCAGTTGTGTTTGTCAGTATCATAGAGGGGGTTCATTCTTGGACTGAGGGTTGGAGTAGATGGGATCTTTGAGATTCTCTCCAACTGTAGGATGCCAGAACTGGTAAATTAATACTTGAAGTGGAAATCTCCCCATAATTTACTCAGAAACAGAAGATACTTACCATGTGTGATGGATCCTGGAACATTTGTTCTAAAATTGATGTGGTCAACTCTGGTCTGGCACTGTCTTTCAAGGAGTCATGGTGTTTTCTCTTCAACTGGCTGTATCCAGAAGCACAGACCATCTGTTTCAGAAACCTGAGGCTGTGCCCATTTCAAGGCCATGAGTCACCAAGTAAGTAGGAGAACCCAGGTCTCAAGAGTTCAGGGCTCATTTCCATGTCATTCCTTTACTACTCTTAGACTTTCCCCATCCCTGGTGTTGACTTTCATAGTCCTTATCTTTTCGAAGCTTATAACCTAATAAGGGAGGTAAGATAAGGGAAGGGGAGGGAAGAGAAAGGAAGGGAAGAGAAAGGGATTCACAATCCTAAAATAATTACTGATTAAGACAGTATTTTATCTGTATAAGAATGTGGTATACTCATATGGCAAAGAAAAAATGAGATTGGTACAGTAAAAAGAACACTAGCTTTAGAGTTTGAGGACCTGGGTTAAAATCTTGCTTCTAATATTTAATGCCCTTGTGACCTTGGGCAAGTCATGATTTTCTCCTATGAAACATGATGGAATATCTCTTCCAGATCTAGATTTTAGTTCTTATGATACCATGAGTTAAATAAAGAAACCAGAACAATGGTGTGGGCTAATAAGAGAAGGCTTCAAGGAAGAGGTGATACTTGATTTTGAACATTAAAGTTTTTGTAGGATTTTGGTAGAAGAAAGAGGAGGAATACTTTAGGTGGAGAGAATACTCCAGAGTCAAGGAAATGAGTGTGACATGATCCAGGAGATAGTGAGGAGGCCACTTTGAAGCAAAAGGCTCAGGTTAGAAGATGGAGTTGCTTTGTTTTAGTGGGAGATGAAGTTGAAAAGATGGCTAGTGATAGATTGTGAAGGCTCTGACATCTTCCATCCCTCTTAAAGTTTGGGTTTATAGGCTAGTGATCATTGATTATGTCTTCTGAGGTATTTGGCCTTCAATCAGACTACCTTGCCACCACATGATGTCCTGGTTATCATTTTGTAAGCCAAATCACCAGGCCAAAAACGTTGTGTCAAGAGAAATGAGCACAAGACCTCTTGGGACTGATGGAGGCTGGTAAACTCCATCGGTGTTTAGGGACCTGAAACTGTGAAGTACTGGATTGAGGGGTCCAGCTATGAAACAATATCAATGTTTGAGGAACAATGAGAAGAGACCCCTAATTGATACTATACCTCAGTAGTGTCAAACTCAAAGAGAAATAGATCCCTGCTGAGATGTATTGATTCAGAAAACCAAAAGTTAACATGATCTAGGTGGTATTGTATCTTTATTTACTTTATTAAGCATTTCCCAATTACATTTTAATCTGCTGGGGCCATCCCTAGTTATCCTGATTATATCTTGCCACTGGACCCAGACAGCTCCAGAGGAGAAGATAAAGCTAGGGACCTTGCACAGCTCTCCCCTTAATTCACTTGCAAGTCATGGCACCATCTTGCTGATGTCATGGTCCTCTTCCAGAACAAAGGACAAACGAACAACAACAATATTTTAGTATGATTTGAATCTGAGACCTCTGCTCTATGTGACTCACAACACTTCTGAGCCCAGAGCAGTCTGTATGAGAACAGCAAACGTCGAGGTAGGCATTAGTGAACCTGGATCATGGTATTTAAGGTCTTTCCACTTCTGGCATCTTGGATTCTAAGGCCCCACCTGTCTCTGAAAGTTTTCTCTGAAATCCCTTCCAGCCCTGACATTCTATGTTCTAACATCCTTCCATCTCCAAATTCTATGTTCTAAGGACCCTTCTGATTCTGGCATTCTATAGCCTAAGGCTCATTTCAGCTTTGACATCTTATATTCTAATGATCCTTCCAGCTCTGACATTCTGTGTTCTAAAGCCCTTCCAGCACTGACATTCTATGTCCTAAGGTGCTTCCAGCTCTGACATCTTATGTTCTAATGGTCCCTCCAGCTCTGATATTCTATGTTCCAAGGCCCCTTCCAGTTCTCATATTGCATAAGTTTATAAAATGGTTCTTATTCTCTCCAATTTCCGACTTGGCTCCTAGCCAAAGACTTTTCTGTTTATACCCCACCCCCACCCCTTCCAAAACCTGAATCACTGGGAGATGGCAGGGACCCTTTTCCAACTAATCAGGCTCTCCTCTGTGGCTCCCAAAACTCCATGTTCCAGTTTGGACGTGTTTCCAGTTCATTTCTCTGCTCTCCACTCAGGGTACACCATGCACTGCCAGCTCTGTTAGCTTGTCGTCCTCCTGTGAGCAGTGCAGGCTCTGGCCAGCCCCTCCAACTCTGGCAGATAATTATCCAGTCATTGAGAGGCAGGCAGTTCTGAATGTCCTCAGAGGGCTGGTGTTTCCAAGTGCTGGGCAGCCAGGCTGTCAGAGCCGAGTCGGGAAAAAGGACAAGAAGTTTCTTCAGAACAGGAAAGGGGGTGATGTTTCTGAGTTGCCACTGAGGTCCTGGAGAGCTGAGTATTGGCGCTGTGAAGAAGGCCCATGTTCTCAGTGGAAACACAAAGAGGGGTGCTGAAAGCCAAGATGATCATGGAAACATAGGTCATTGGCTCATAAGATCATAGACTTCATTAGAAACCGAGTCCAACCCCTTTGTTTTACAGATGAGGAAACCGAGTTTCAACCAAGTTAAATGATTAGTTTAGTGCCTACATAGCTGATGAGTGTCTGAAGTAGAAGTGCTGCTGCTGTTAGCTTGCCTAACCCATAGGATGATAATAATAGCTAACATATATATATATAAAACCCTTTAAAGTTTATCAAGCATTTCATATGTTATCTCATCTGATCCTTACAACACTCCCAGTGAGGAAGGTGTTATTCGTATCCCCATTTTACAGATGAGGAAACTGAGGCTCAGATAGGTTAAATGACTTTCTCAGCATTACACAGCTAATAAGTGTGTGAGGCCAAATGTGTTGCTGATGATAATGGCTCATGTAGGCCATAGGATGCCAGAACCTAAATGGACCTAAACAGACCTCCAACGTCTTCATTTTAAACAGGAAGAAACTAAGGCCCAAGGAGGGGCAGTAGCTTGTAAGTGACATAGCTAGGATTAGAAATCAGACCTTCTGAGTTCAAATTCATGGCTCTGTTGAATATTGCAGTATGCTGTATAGAAACTGGTAGTCACAAAGCATATTATATCCATGATTTCTATTGATTCTCATGACATCCCCTGTAAGTTGGGCACTATAGGTTGTTATTATCCCTACTTAAAGCTAAGGCAACTGAAACCCAGTGACCCACCCGAGAACACAGCCAGGACATGGCAATGATACCTGTGTGACCTAGTATCCCAATTTGGGGCTTTGCCCTACACTGTCTCTTCATTTTTTTTTCCCACCATGTACACAGACCTGAAGCATCCCCTTAAAGATTTAGCTCTGGTTGGTTCCTCTAGAATTCTTAATGAACCTAGCTCAATGAGAAGAAAGGGGGTGGGGAGAAAGACAGAAGCGGGGGATGCAGAGGGCTCATCTCCCTGAGAGAAGTCAAGCCAGGTGAGATGCAGACTGGGAATCTGGTAATGCACTCACCTCCACCTTCATTACTACAAAGCTTAGGCACTGACCTGAATCAAGGGACTATGATGGGGCAAGATGGGCCTGACACTTTGAAATATCCCATTTGTCAAGAGTCTTGTCCCTGTTTCCCCTGGAAAGTACAGTCAAATTCAATTTGATTGAATGACAATAAGCATTTTTCTTCTCCTTGGCTCTCAGGCCCTCAACTCTCGCCCTGAATAAGAGCATATCTGACTGAATGGGTTCAGCAGGCTCGTTGCCCCTTCTCATCTGCTGCTTCTTGTCTCCTACAGGGCAAGAACCAAGTCATCGAGGGCACTGACTAATTTGTTGTCACTGCTCCAATAACATCAAGGGCGATGCCTTGACTTGGGAGTGAATTTGTAAAGAGTAAATAACCTCTGTGCGAGAGCCGCAGGGCCTCTCCTAGAAGTGACATTTCAGTGTATGGATTTTGCTGGACCTATTTGAGCTGCCTGATGCCTCTGTTTGGCTTCCTTCCTGCTTCCTGGCCACGTTCCAGATAGGTGAGGCTGTTGGATCTGACCTCCAGATTGATGAGGTGCCAGCGTGTATGACTAATCTCCAACATCTTGGTAAATATGTTAAAAAGGAGAAAAAATCGAGGTGAATTTGGACTAGAGTGCTTAGGGAAAGGATAGACTTTCCATGAAGAGATAATAACAATAACTAATATTTATATAGCATGCTAAGGTTTATAAAGATATAAAAGTATAGATATACACACATACTTATAAAATGTCAAATGAGATTTTTTTCTCTATTATAGTATGTGTATACATATGTGTAAGTATATGCATTTACATATGCCATCACACATGCACATACATACATGTACCACATATGCATACACACATGTTATCATATACACGTGCATAATACACATACACACGTGCATATATACACATTATAATAGGCATATGCATATATTCACATACATGTGCATGTGTATAATATACATCATATATACTGTGCATATATACACACATCATCACACATACATGAACATACATATAAACATCATATGCACACATACAATATACCTGTATTATCACATATATACACATGTAAACATGTATAACATACACTGTTCCCATATTGTACATTGCATATATATATATGTACCACACACATATATTATCATACTGCACATGTGCATGCATGCACATGTACAACATGTGTGCAACTATATTATCATGTATACATGTGTGTACATACATGTATCATACACATGCCTATCTTATCATGCATGCATCTAGGTATACAAGTCTGCATATATCATATATCCATATGCATATATGCATGCACACACTATCATATTTATACATATGCACAGTATAATATGCATGTGCATTATCATATATGCAATGTTATAAATATGCACACACATATGTTTTATATATATATATATATATATCAGTTCTTTTTGTAGTGGCAAAAAGTTGGAAACCAAAGAGGGATCCTCATACCCAGGACTTCTCATCTCTACCTCCTGGCATCTCTGTCTTCCTTCAGATCTCAACAAATCCCTACTTAAGCGAGAAGCCAGTTTCCTCCTTAATCTTAATGCCTTCCCTCTGAGATTATCTCCAATTTACCTGGTATGTCTTATTTATACACAATCATTTGCATATTGTCTTTCCCCCATTAGATTTCCAGTTCCTGTAGAGTAGGGACTGGTTTGGGGCTTTCTTTGTGTCCCTAATGCTTAGAACAGTGCCTGGTATATAATAGGCACTTAATAAATAGTTAAATCCCAGTACCACCACCTGCTAAATGGGTGACCTTGGATAAAGCACAGCACTGTTCTGGTCCTCAGTTTCCTTATTTATAAAATATCCCTGTGGCAATGGGCGTACTGAATGAACAAGCTTTTCCATGACGCCATGATTGCCAACAAGACCGAAGCCATTATTGGTGACAGGCAGCCCCAGAAGGCAGGGTAAGGGGCCAGGCATTATTAAGTGAAGTGTCTGAGGATGATTTCGAACTTCCCCACTCAAGTTTTCCTACTCCCTCTTTGATTCTCAGCTTGGACAATGTGCAAAGAGCCCTCTCCCAGCCTTACAACAGTGGCTGCCAGTCTCAGGCAGAGATAATTAACCAGGAGAAGCAGGGGAGGCTGCCAGCCCTGGGGGAGCTCCTGGCTTATAATAGCTGGCAACTGTCACCAACACACTTGAGTCAAATAAACAATAAAACCAAATGACTTCCTTCTTGAAGAACGTCTAGGAGCCCCTATTTCCTTCTTCTAAGCCAGTGGTCTCATTCCAGCATAGGGAAGATATTAGTAGAAAGAACATTGGCTTGAGAAGGTTAGAAGGCCCAGGTTCAAGTCCAAGCTGTGCCACTGAGTGACTTTGGGCTACCTGTGCGACCTTGGGCAAGTCACATAACTTTTCTGAGCATCAGTTTCCTCCTTTGTTAAAATAAAAATGGGGAGTTTAAATGGGAAGATCTTTAAAGTCCCTTCTAACTCAAAAATCTTATGACCTCATGCTTTTTCTGGGCCCTAGTTTCATATGGAAAATGGGCATGATATTTGTTCTACCTACCCTCACAAGGCTGATAGAAGGATTGAGTGGGAAATCTATATGAAAGATTTTTTTTAAATTTTTTTAATCTTTAATTCTTTTCTCTTTAAAAAAATTGACAGGGATTTTAAAAATCATAAATCCCTACCTCAATGTCAGCTGTTATGGTTCTGATATCCTACTAGGGTCCATCTGGTAATTACACTAGAGGTAAAAAGATGAGTAAGGTCTAATTCCAATCCTCAAAGATTCTTACAGTTCAGGGGATAAGACATGCACAGCTACCATTGTAACTTCGGATGGTCTGCGACTGATTTCATAAGACAAGGATGGGGTGGTCCTCCAGAAGGAGGAGGAATTGCATCTATTAGGGGGATATCTGGGCGTCCTCTGACACTTTTTGAGGGCCATTGTGTTTGGTCAACCATAGAAGGAGCTGCCCTGCTTAGGTGAACCAGGCATAAAAATACATACATGTTTGCATAGGAATAAATGCAGAGAATTGATTAAATGCTTTATCAGATTTATTACCCTGTTGCTTACTTGGTGCCAGATTCGATCTTTTCATTTACCACTTGGACTCTACTCGTACCACTGGCTCTGACCATGATGACTCTCTGGATACAGTTTTTCACCTCTATCTCTCCAGTTCCACGACCTGCATCCTGGTTTCTGACTCCAGTAGAATATTGGAACTAGAGGCATAATTCTGGCCTCTAACCATGTGAGAACTTCCTCCACCATGGAACGCTCATCTTCAGCCTCTGGCAACACTCACAAGAGGATCAGTACAAAAAGAGGCCTGGAAGAAGTTAGTGGCATTTGAATTTGGTCTTGAAGAATGGACAGACTTTAGCTGGCCAATGTTCACATTAACCATAGGGTTCTGGTTAATTTTCACACATCAGAAAGGGAGAAAAGATAAACTATTTGGAAAAATGTTCAACTACCAACATGTTGGCTAGTTGCCTGCTAAGGACTTATTACAATCCTTATCAAAAGAGAGAAAGAAAGAAAAAGAAAGAAGGAAGGAAGGGAGAAAGGAAGGAAGGAAAAGAAAGAGGGAGGAAGGAAGGAAGGAAGGAAGGAAGGAAGGAAGGAAGGAAGGAAGGAAGGAAGGAAGGAAGGAAGGAAGGAAGGAAGGAAGGAAGGAAGGAAGGAAGGAAGGAAAGGAAGGAAGAAGGAAGAAGGAAGGGAGGAAGGAAGGGAGGAAGGAAAAGAAAGAGGGAGGAAGGAAGGAAGGAAAAGAAAGAAAGAGGGAAGAAGGAAAGAAGGAAGGGAGGGGGAGGGAAGAAGGAAGGAAGAAAAAGAAAAAAAAGAAAGGATGGAAGAAAGGAAGGAGGAAAGAAAGAAAAAAAGAAGAAAGAGAAAGGAAGGAAGGGGAGGGAGGGAGGAAGGAAAGAAAGAAGGAGGAAGAAAGAAGGAATGGAGGGAGGCAGGGAGAAAGTAAGGAAGAGATTAAAATTTAATTGAGAAATAATTAACAAAATAAATAAAAATCTATACTTTTTAAAAATTGCCATTTTTATTGACAATGACTACCCAATTACCCAATTTCTTGACATCTCAATTGCTCTCTATTGGAATAAGTCAAAAATTGAATTGAATTCAACATGTATTAAATGCCTTGAAATACAAAAGTGAAAACTGGTCCCTATCTTTCAATGGTGCAGTAGGAAGGAAGTACATCGAGGCCTGCAGTCAGGAAAATCTGAGTTCAAATCCAGCCTCCGACAATCCAGCCTTCCTAGTTGTGTGAGCCTGGGCAAGTTACTAAATTGCTATTGGTCTCAGTTTTTCCAACAAAAGTGAGAATAATAACAGCACTTACCCTCCAGGGTGATTTTGAAGATCAAAAGAGATAATATTTCTTAAGCACTTGGCACCATGCCTGGTACATAGTAGGTCCTTAAATGCTTTCCCCTCCCTTATATTCTACCTGGAGGGAAAGGGAAAAGGGAGGAAATGGGAGGTGGGGTACAACATATGCCCAGATAAGTAAGTAAGAGGTAACTTAAGGAGGAAGACAGGTCTAAGAAGTGAGAAAGGGATGGGGTAAGATCAGGAAAACCTTCAGTTCTTCATCTGTTTTGGAAAAGCTTATGAAATTGAAATTTTTTACTAGGTTTGTGATAAAGGAAAAGACCGTCGAAGGCTTTGCCTGGTCCACACTTAATGTGAGTTGAAGGAAACAGAGGAGTAGGAAGCCAGTTCAGGGAAAACAAACTATTTTCTAGATTCTTCCAGTTAGTTCTCTAGTCTGCTTTCTTCATTTTCTATGCAGGGAAGTAATATCAGATCCCAAAGGCATTCCAGAGCAAGACGTGTAGGTTGGGGGGATCTATGTCTTGTAACCGTTCTCCCCCCCCATTCATGTTTCCAAGCCTATAAAGCACACTATAAAGCACAGCACATATACAAAACCTAGAAGGCCACTGTGGGCATTTCTCCAGCTGTGATCTCCACCATGGAAACAACTAATGGGTTCTGTGTTCATGGTTACTTACCACATAATTGACTTGGTCAACTATAAATATGTGGAGGCCAAAATCAACCATCAAGGGAACTATAGTTAGCTTATATCGTTAAGATATTTGAGCTGGAAAGGTCCTTAGAATACAGACTATGTTGGGAAGTCAGGAAGGCTCTTAAAAGATGGAATGTCAGTGGGCCTCCTCACTTGGAAGAGACTTTAGAACATAGAATGTTAGAACTTAAAGGGTCTTTTGAACATAGAATATTTGAACTTTAAGAGACCTTCAAGCATAGCCACACAGGGACTTACAATACAGCATGTCTAAGTTTGAATCAACCTTAGAACATAAAATGTTAGAATTTGAAAAGATCTTAGAATATAGAATATTAGAACCTTAGAACACAGGGTGTAAGAGTGGGAAGGGGACCTAGAACATAGGATGTGAGAAGAAGAGACCTTAGAATGTAGAATGTTAAAGCTGGAAAAAATTACTGAGATCATCTTTTGCCTCATTTTAAATATGGGGAAACTGAGGCTTATGGAGGTAAACGTGACTAACCCAGGGTCATAACTGCCATAGGACCTGGCTCTCTCCTCTTTGCACCATACCAGCTTAGCATAACTAGCCATGTAGCACTTGAAGATTTGCAAAACACTTGACAAATATGATTTCATTTGATGCTCCTAACAACTCTGCTTAATAGGTGATATTATTATCCCCATTTTATAGATGAGGGAACTGAGGCAGGTTATGGGATTGTCGAAGGTCACACAGCTAGTGAATGTCTGAGGTGGGATTTGAACTCAGGTCTTCCTGATGCCAGGTTCAGCACTCTATCCACTGAGTCATCTAGCTGCCTAATGACCAGATCTAGCTCTGTTTCCTAGGAGCTGGTAGAGATAGCAACCTTCTCACTGTTTCTGTTGGTATTTACCTGTTTAGATCTGTTTTTTTAAAGAACCCAGACACACTACTCTTCTTTGAATTCAGTCTTTGTTGGCCTAATGTGAACTCAAGGCAGAATGAGGAGGAATGAGTTGGGGGGTGCACATCATGCCCTGTTGGCCCAACTTCTTCCACATCCACAGTTTTGAGTTCTGAACCAAAATTTTCAGCTGCAACTCCCACAGACCTCTCTGCAAACAGTAACACCTTATTCATCCCATCACAAGGCAGGACGGATACCCCACCCCAAACATATTTACGTGGATATTCTATATATTGCAAACATGTGTCACTTTCTCAAGACAAAGCCTAGATCCTGGACTACAATGGCATGGGATGGAACGAGCTTCTAGCAACGACAGATTTGGCAAGTCCAAATTCCTCTTCCATCAGGCCCTTCCTTCCAGCTCTGGCAGCCATAGGCCTGCTCCATTCAGCTTCCATTCCCTCTGGGACCTGCTTCCAGGCCTGGCACCCAAGGGGTGGGCTTGTCTGCATCCCAATTTCCTCTCTTCTGAAGTCATTTGCTGTGAGATGAGGAGTCACCCAAGTGGAGGTGCCAGCCAGGTGAGGCAGGGGTGGCTGCTGCTGGGGATGACGTCCCTGGGCCAAGAGACACTGAATAGTTCTGGCAGAGCCCTCTCAGTGTTTACAACAGGACAATGGGCTTTGTTGTGCTAATGCCCTGGAATCCTGAGGTTGGGGCCAGGCTTTGGAGCCAAGGGTATATGGCTGGCCATCAAATGGCACAGAATAAAATGAAACAAAATCAGCCCCCATTTCCCCCCACACTCCCAATCACACCCAAGCCACACAAACTCTGCTCAAGGTCTAATGTTCCAAAGAAGGCAAAAAAGATTTAAGAATTCAGGTCAAAGGGAAACACCTTTCCTTTCCTCCTGGAACTCTTCTTTCCCCCATAACCCACCCCTCCTTGTAACTTCCCCATTTCCAATGATGACATCCATGGTCCTACCAGGCAACCAGACATGTCTGTGGCCAAGGATCTGGAAGGGGCGGGGCCTGAGCCTTCTTCCACTGCAAATGACTACACTGAGGTTAGTGCATTAGATTGCAGGTGATGTGGCAGGTAAAGGGAACTTAGAGGTCATCCAGTCTGCCCCCTTCCCCCTTCTTCTGGACTGGGCCTGTGCTTTCACTGGTGTAGGGAGTTCCTGGTCAAGGAAGCTATCTGCCCTATCAATGAGCAAATGCCCGGCAGCTCAGATTCTTAGATTGGGCTTCTTACTCTTTTTGTGTCATTAAGGACCCCATTGGCCATTAGGTAAAGTCTATGGTCCCCTTTCGATAATATTTTTAAATGCACACAATGAAATACATAGCATTACAAAGAACACCAGTTTTGTGGAAATAAAAATGCATTTTCCCCAACCAAATTCAAGGACCTCCTGAAATCTATCCCTGGAGCTTATGGGCTCCTTTCTAAGAGAATTGCCTGAGGCACCGATGGGCCAGGTGACTTGCCCATGGTCACGCAGCTGGTATAAGTCAGAGGCTGACCTTGCACCCAAGCTCTCCTGGCCCCATAGATGGCTCATTATCCATTGCCACATGGCCTCTCATTTTACATATGAGGAAATCTGGGCCCATGAAGGTGAAAAAACTTGTCTATCCTATTGGTTTTTTCATAAAACCAGCTCTTAGTTTTATTTATTAGCTCGATAGTTTTCTTAATTTCAATTTTTTTAATTTTTCCTTTGGTTTTCAATATTTCTAATTTAGTGTTTAGTTGAGGATTTTTGATTTGTTCTTTTTCTAGTTTTTTTAGTTGTATGACCAATTCATTGATCTCCCCTTTTTCTATTTTGTTTACGTAAGCATTTAGAGATATAAAACTTCCCCTAAGAACTGCTTTTTCTGCATTCCTTAAGTTTTGGTATGTTGTCTCATTATTGTCATTCTCTTGAATGAAATTATTGATTGTTTCTATGATTTGTTGTTTGACCCAATCATTTTTTAGGATTAGATTATTTAGTTTCCAATTATTTTTTAGTCTATCTTTCCATGGCCCTTTATTACATATAATTTTTATTGTGTCATGATCTGAAAAGGATGCATTTAATATTTCTGCCTTTCTGCATTGGATTGTGAGGTTTTTATGCCCTTGTACGTGGTCAGTTTTTGTGTATGTGCCATATACTGCTGAAAAAAGTATATTCCTTTTGATCCCCATTCAGTTTTCTCCAGAGGTCTATCATACCTAACTTTTCTAATGTTCTATTCACCTCTTTAACTTCTTTCTTGTTTATTTTGTGATTAGATTTATCTAGTTCAGAGAGGGGGAGGTTAAGGTCCCCCACTAGTATAGTTTTGCTGTCTATTTCTTCCTGTAACTCCAGGAACTCTTCTCTAAGAATTTGGATGCTATATCATTTGGTGCCTATATGTTTAGTAATGATATTACTTCATTGTCTATGGTGCCTTTTAGCAGGATGTAGTTTCCTTCCTTATCTCTTTTGATTAGATCTATTTTTGCCCTTGCATTGTCTGAGATCAGTATTGCTACCTCTGTTTTTTTTTTCCTTCAGCTGAAGCATAATATATTCTGCTCCAGCCTTTTACTTTTACTCTGTATGTGTCACTCTTTTTCAGACGTGTTTCCTGTAAACAACATGTTG